TGTAGCACATGAACTGGAAAACTTTACTTATTTTCACTGAGTGATTTCTCTGTGTGCTCCCATGCCACATCATGGATGGGTCTTCAGATGTCCATGTCTAAGCTGGCCCCTGAATCATGAGGATCTTTTTGTTGTTGTGGTGGTGAGGTTTTCAATACACCTGCTGTGTGAAGCCACAGAACCTTTTGTTATCTTCCTTCTTCCTTTCTTGCCTTCCAGGAAAGCTTCCTTCCCAGTCTTGAATCACTGTAACTTCAAGGTACTGTGTATCTACGTTTACTGTGCCCCTCTCTTTTGATATCCTTTCTGACATAATCAGATGGATATCCCTATCCAGCTTTATAGGAATTTGTGAAAAATTACCAAGAATTCCTTTTAGGAGTTAACAAAGCAGCAAGACTACGTTTCCAAGCCTCAGAAGCCCAAATTATTAGGAAAGGACTACTCTTTAATCAGGCATAGAAATGTGTTTTTAAAATGCAGTTAGAAGTGATCAGTAATTATTGAAAGTTTACAAGTTAAGCAAGAAAAAAACCTCAAATAATGAAAGACAAAGCAATCTTGTCATGCCTAAAAATTGAAGATAGGAGTTTTAAATTAGCTTAAATTGTTATTTTTTTTTAATTATTATGTTAACATACATGTTCCTGCTAGCGGTATGTGAACACTGTCTAGACTTCTGCTTGGTATGCACATGACTGTGAGCTCTCGATGATACTGATAGCATTGTTGTTATGCAAACACTGAAAATTTGGCTTGCACTTTCCTGGGTTTTTTTTATATATTTGTGTGTGTATATATATATATATGCATAAAAGTACATTGTAGAGTATTAGCCACAAAAGTACATAGCAAAAACATAATATACGTTTTGGCTCCAAACATCCTGAAACTATCAATGTGAATAAAAATTTGTGTAGGTAGTTTTGTAACAACAAAAATTTTTTGTAGGGTCGTCATAATTTTTTCAGTGGGGTACATGACCAATAAAACACCCCATCCTGAGGTTTCCTATTTTGAATGAAAAATTTGCAGTAATTGCTCTGTATCATATGTTCATGAAGATGCTTTTAAAACTACGGTAGTTCAGTGCGTGGTACAAATGAAAAAATAAATCAAAGTGAAAGAGTTACCTTAAATGTAGATTCTGGGCATACCTGTCTCAGCTCTGAGCTAAAGCTGTGTTCTTTACTTAAGTGCTTGCATTCTTGTCTTTATTAGGAAGGAAACAGTAAAATTCCCTCTGTGAACATAGAAACAACTTTCTGAGGAATTTATAAATGCAATGGCTAATTTATTTGAGTAAAAATGAATTGTTTCCTCTCTAAAAGATTGTAGTGAAAGAATAGAAGAGATACTCAAGTTTCATTCACCATTTGCCCACACTTTGTATGCATGCACACACACACACGTTTCTTACTTGATCCACTAAACATTCTTCAGTAGAAAGTTGCACAAGAAATTATATTCTCTCAAAAATTACCTCCTCTTCCCATTGTTATTAAATATGGTAGCTACAGCTGGTGCCATTTTCACAGAACCACAGCATGGCTGAGGTTGGAAGGAACTTCTGGAGATCATCTGGTCCAACCCCCCTGCTCATGCAGGGCCACTTAGAGCTGGTTGCCTAGGACCATGTCCAGATGGCTTTTGAATATGTCAAAAGATGGAGACTCCACAACCTCCCTGGGCAACCTCTTCCAGTGGTTGGTCATCCTCACAGTAAAAAAGTGCTCCCTGGTGTTCTGACGGACCTGCCTGTGTTTCAGTCTGTGCCCTCTTTGAATGGAGCAACTCCTCTCCTTGGAGGGGAAGAGGCTTTTGATCATTCGTTTCTGCTGATTAAATAAAAGTTTTATTTAGTTTAATTTCAAAAGTTACATACTGGTGGTACTTCAGAAGATATGGTGGGATGGAAATAATGGGAGAAAGCAACTGGTGTTAAAGTAGAAGGACAAGAACAAGTGATCTAGTTGAAGATGTCCCTCCTCATTGCAGGGGGGTTGGACTTAGATGACCTTTAAAGGTCCCTTCCAACCCAAACCATTCTATGATTCTGTGAAGCAGGGAGACAAATCAGGTCACAAAGTATGGAAACAGAGAGAAGGCAGATTTGGAAAGAGAGACCACTGTACACCACCCAGCTCTTTAGGACTCTGCTAGAATTGCTAACGTTGTCAACCCACCTTGAACAGCTTTTGAGTGCCAATTCCTTCGCGCTCTCTGAAATACTATAAAACAGAGGGATTGTAGGAGAAAAGAACTACATGAAATTTAAAAACAAGAAAATACACGACAATAAAGAGACTAAAACTTCCATTTCCAATTAGAAATCTGGTAATTGTATTCCCAGTGAATCTTACTTGGAGGAAATATCTAATGAATTTATGAGAAGAAGAGCTGTAGACCAGAAAAATATTAAAATGGGTTTATTGGTGAAATTTCAAAAGTAATTTCAGATGGAATTCATTGCAGGGATGTAAATTATTGAAGTGCAAAATTTTGATATCAAGTAAGCATGAACTTTTTGCTGACTGACTTGATGTACAGGAGTCTGATATGAAAAAATGTGACTGTCGTTAATATAAATTTGATCTCTCTTGCAAATGCTAAAATCCTTTAACCATAAGAGTGTTGATAAATGGTGTCACTGCAAAAGTTAAGACATTTGTATTTGTAATACATTTTTACCTAGGACAATTGCATTGTATGATTTTCTAAATTACAGATATGGCCAAACATAAAGTTACTTAAACTTTAATTTGTGATCATTAAGAGAGTCATGTGCTGAAAATACACTGTACTGTAGGGGAACCTAAAACACTTGGCCAGTCTTGTCGTCTTCTCTTTTTCCACTGAACCAGCTTTCTCTGAGGAGAGTAACAGGCTTGGAGTCAGAAATCACAGCTGTTCTTGCGTACTCTTTGCATTTTTAGTCTTCATTTGTTCAAGTTCCAGACAAGTATGAGGTAATCTGTCCTAAATCAAAATTTATATTGCATCTTAAGTTGCTAAAGTTAATCTTTCATTCTTCCTTTGGCTTGAAGGTAAGAAAAAAGGAAGGCATTTTTTCATCTCCAAATGGTGCTAAAGACTACAGCAAAAATGACCATCTTCTTCCAGTTACTTTGCATATTTGCCTGGAGGTTTTTGGCTGCTTAAAATGGAAGAATTAACAAATTATATTGTATTAGTTATAGGGAAGCTCGTCCTTTTTTTAAATACAAAGATGTAATGTTCAGTAAATTTCATATTTTACTGTTGACTTCTGCTCCAGGAGGTTGGCCTTAAAGCTAGTTCTGCTATTTTAAGTCAGAAACGTAGATCTCTCTTCACCTCTGAAGTAGAAACACAATCACAGAAACAGAAGTTTCTAGGGTTGCATTTCTTTTTCACCTGAACATTTGCTGTTTGCCCATTTGAAAAGGGGGAAATTTGGCTGAAGGAAAATTTTCAACGTCTAATCTGATGCCATCTTATGTAAATGGCCTCCTGGATATAGTAAATGTGCTGTGCATCTCAGCGAGCAGCCTAGTAACAAACAAATCCTGCCTTCAGTGCCTGTTTGAACAGCAGGTTATCCAAGACTTCATTTCGATAGTGGAAGGGATGAACTTTCTTGTGTAGCAATCTGCAGG